GATCTGTATGGATGATTGTTGTGTAGATCTGTATGGATGATTGTTGTGAAGAGCTCTGAGTATAAGTAGTTGCTGCAGTTTCCTCCAAATCACTTTCACGACACGATCACGCGAGACAGACACTGCACGAGCTAGCGCATGATATTATTGACCAGAACTCTTTATGTCCGAGTCATTTTTAACACCAGATTAAAAACGATCCGGGATAAGAGACGGCGGGCGATATGCATGCCTTCAGGCCCGCTGCCCTCTTGGTTCGGGCTGGTTCTTACCGATACATGCCTGGCTGGCGAGCATGGAGGCGGTCAGAGCCCCGGCAGAGGCCCCGTACAGCCGGGCCGCCCCCCTCACGAGGTACGGAGCCTTCTCCAGCAGACAGCTGGCCACTCCGATGTGATAGATCCCCAGAAACCCGCACCCGGCAAAAGACAAGTTCCAGCCGCTGTTTAGGTCGAACATGACGACGAGACATGCCCGGCTGGCGGGCCGAGCTGAGGAGGAGGTCCGAGCTGCGCTCACCGCCGCCCGGCGAAGGAAAGCAGAGCGACCCGCTGACTGCCCGAGCTATAAAGAGCCTGTGGTGCGTTCAAGTGCTGTCAGAAATATGACCACTCTCAAACTAAGACTGTGTCATAACCCCGCTATCAAGTTATAATTCGTAAAACCTCACATAATCGCAGTATCGTTTTTCTTTTCCTTGTTTATGAAATTAAACAAGAAAAGTATAATGAGCGAGCTTGTGCTATTGTATTAATTTGTTTAAAAATAAATTTATGATGACGTTGACTCAAACGTATTTTGCTGTTGCGTTCCAGTACACTCGGAAATCAGAACTTTTATTTCCTTCTAATCTAATCTAATTTTTTGGTACCACTAAGGCTCCCCTTATAGATGGATAATAAATAGTTTATAGATGCGTAATTCCTCTATAAACACTTTATAAATCATTAATAGCTGCTTAGTATGCATTAAGGGTGACAGAGAGACAAAACTGACGTTTCTTGTCAAATAGTGATCCAGATGTGTTCACGTGTATATTTCATCTAGAGTTGTTATATTAAACATTTTAGAATAAGTTACTAACTTGTAAGCACAATAAACATGTGTAAACCTAATATTTTTAGCATAATATTAGTAGCAGATATTTATTTATAAATATACCTGTATAAATAAAGGTTGATTTATTTATTTAATGCAGTGATAAAGTACAATATTATATCCTAAAAAAGGATTTAGCGAGCCAGATGTTAAAAGCAGATAAGGTTAGTTGAGTTTATTGGTTATTTGTTATATGCAGGTCAACACAAGATCAATAATGCAATGAGATGCTCAGGATGAGAGGAACCATCTCAACTCACCCAAAAAATTAAAAATAAAAATAAAAACAAGAAACAAGAAATAAGAAAGCATGCAACAAAAATAGAAAACAAAACACCAAAAAGAGAAAAAGAAACACAGCATGTAGGTCCAAAAGAAATATAGTAAAGAGCATTGGATGAATCAGTGCAGCCTGTTACAATATCCAGCAATAAGAAGCAATTGTAGTAAAACTAGTTCTAAAAACAGTGTTCCTGTTTGCAGCATGGAGCGTAGCATCATGTGTCGGCCCCATGGACTGAAGCTGGAGGATGGTTCCACAAGAGAGGAGCCTGAGAACTGGAAGATCTTCCTCATTCTGCTGCTGGAAACTCTAGGAACCACAAGTAAACCTGCAGCCTGAGAGCGAAGTGCTCTGTTAGGAAAATATGGAACAATAAGATCTGTAATATAAGATGGAGCTAGGTTGTTGAGAGCTTTGTAGGTTAGAAGTAAGATTTTGAATTCTATTCTGGATTTGACAGGGAGCCAATGGAGAGAAGCTAAAACTGGAGATCTCTCCCAGTAACTCCAGTTAAGACTCTGGCAGCAGCAGTTTGGATCATCTGGACACGTTTCAATAATTTGTTGGACACAGATAAACTTTCAGCTTCTGCAACCTTCATTTATTTAGTGGTAAACAAGGTGACACTGGTAAAGGTCGCAAACTCCCGGACCAGTCTACAGAGTGCGCGTGCGCAGCCGTGGCTCCTTCCCTCCTTCGTGGTGCTGATGCTGGTGCTCGTGCGCGCGCGTTACGTCACCTCTCCCACTTAGTGAGCAGCATCCTGCAGACCAGTCCCACCATCCTCATCCTCGCGCTGAGCACGTCTGATCTAAAGGGTCGTCAGAGAAGGTGAGCGCACGCGCGGTCTCGTGTTGCCCTGGCGGCTGCAGAGGATGGCGGAGAGCGAGGCAGACACGCCGAGCACTCCCATCGACTTCGACAGTAAATACTTCGAATATGAGGGAGTGCGGCTGCCCCCGTTCTGCAGGGGCAAGATGGAGGAGGTCCGGGAGTTCTCCCTGAGAGGGAGCGACGTGTGGATCGTCACCTACCCCAAGTCAGGTGAGCAGACTGCAGAGCGCGTGCCCTGCAGGCAGCGAAGCACACGCACGCGCTGTCTTCAGCCGTTCACATGAGCAGGAGCAGCTTCTGTCAGCTGACCACAGCTGGTAACATCAGCTGATGAGTCAACATGATGACCTCATCCCAGTCCAACCATGACGGCCACAGCTCTGCAGGTGCTGGTGCAGTGGCTGCAGGCACCAACACATCAATGAGGACTTGGATGTAGAGCTCAAGGCATGTGGCCCTCATCTGCCCCCAACAGATTTTAAATGTGAAATATTTTCATTGCTTCTCATTTTGCTTCAAAAACGGATGTGGTGATTTAGAGCAGACTCTTGATGTCAGTGAAGCCAGAAAATGTTGTTCCTCCACCCTCTTTGAGTTGGATGAGACCCGTCACGTGTGGATGAACCAAGAAAACACATATCGACTGAAATAAGCTCATGGTTGGACCTGGCTCTTAATTTGGCATAAAATACATAAAATAACGGAGTTTCTTTATCCCATGTTTTGTAACTAATGTATAACTAAGATAAACCAAGAACATTTAACTGTTTAACTTGACTTTGGTCGTTGTTTCTTGGACGTCATGGCGCCACAGTGGAAACAGATACAACACATTTCATTTACCTTTATTCATACAAGTAGTCTCATTGAGTCACGAGAACTCATTTTCAAGAGAGACCTGTTTGGGAGCGGATGGGGGGGGGATGTTAGGGGCCTTGCTCGGGGGCCCAGAGTGGGGCAAATGAGGGTGGAGGCAGGTGTGGGTGTTCCACCTTTTCCACCCATATTTTAGTGTTGACGGTACCGGGAGTTGAACCTGCGACTTTCCGATCACAAGCCCATCTTCTAACCTCTGAACCACCACTCCCCAAGAACACGTATTTAGAACTCGTATGGATGAGCTCGGTGCTCCATTAACCAGACTGACCTGGTGCCGTAAGAGCGCCGCTGTCGCTTCGTATTTGAATTCACCGTCATGCTGATTTACATACATAAAGAGTAATTCAATTCAATTCAATTCAATTCAATTCAATTCAATTCAATTCAATTCAATTCAATTCAGTTCAGTTTATTTAAATAGCACCAAATCACAACAAAGTTGTCTCAGGAACTTTACAGGAACATTCACATTAAAAGCCAATAAGTAAAGTTCTCTATCTAAGAATCCAGCAGACAAGTTGAATCTTGGCTTCGTTGCAGTCTCCCATCCTGAGCAAGCACAGTGGAGACAGTGGAAAGGAAAAACTCCCTTTAACAGGAAGAAACCTCCAGCAGAACCAAACCACAACTGTACACTTGAACTTTGCATTTATACGTTTGTGAAGTTGTAACATTTTAAATTCTATTTATTAAATTCAGTTATAAAGAAAACACACAATGCATGTAATGTATATGTGATTTAACAAATTGTTTACAAATTCTAGTTGTAGACAACCACTGACTAATATGCACACGTCTTCTTTTACATATGCATTTATTGTGATCGTGTTCTTACCCCGCTCAAATTATTCTCTGGGTCAGCAGTTCCTCAAACCAAGCACAGTCTGGACAAAGAGTCACCGAACGATTGGCCAGGACCCCCTCGAGACCAATCAGAAGTCCTCCTTTATGGCCTCCATGCCAAAGTTTTTGTATCTGCCATCACAGAAGCTGCAGTCCAGTGCTACGCAGTTAACCAAAAATTTAGCTTCACTAACCCATATTCCACTAACTTAACACTAAACCAGTAAGCAGGTAAAACGGTTTGTGGAAGCTAATGCTAACCGCGGTCAGTCAGTCTGCGTCACGTGTCGTTGTCTCCAAGCTGAAGGGTGGCTGATGAGAACCTGCTGACGTTAGTCTGATTCTGCTGCTTTCACGTGAAGGTGGTTATTTGTGACAGTTCAGCCAGTCCAAATCACAGTGGTAGCCTTGCATAACACATCTACATTATTCCCCCTCTCCATTCAATTCTTTGAGAAATATATCCATCCATCCATTTTCTTTTACCCGTTTGTTCCATTTTGGGTCACGGGGGTCGCTGGTGCCCATGTCCAGCAATCACTGTGCGAGGGGCGGGGTACACCCTGGACGGGTCGCAAGTCCATCACAGGGACACATAGAGACAAACGAGACAAACAACCATTCACTCTCTCACTCACACCTAGAGACAATTTAGAGTTACCAATCAGCCTAACATGCATGTTTTTGGTCTGTGGGAGGAAACCGGAGCACCCGGAGAAAACCCACGCATGCACGGAGAGAACATGCAAACTCCACCCAGAAAGGTCCTGGACCGGGGTTTGAACCAGGGACCTGCTCACTGAGAGGCAGCAGCTCTACCAGTTGCGCCACCGTGCTGCCCTGAGAAATCTATGCTTTTAATCTATGTAATGGACTGTAAATGATTTCAAAATGAATTTCCAACTGTGCAGATTGTTTATATATGTTTCACTGTGTTGGTTGTAAATGTATTGTTTTGATTTCATGGTATTTGTAATTTTCAATTAGGTTTTTTTTGTACCTCATGGGATGCCACAGGTAATAAGGGCCAGCCTTATAAAAGCTGACAGCAATCAGTGCACGAATTAATGGATGAAAAACAGCTGTCAGCAGGACTCAAATGTTTGGTGTAAAGGAAACCAAGACAAACTACGCTTTGCATTCCCCCAGTGAAGGCAGCGAGGTACGTTTTCTTTGTATTTTGAGCACATGTTTTGTATCTAAATGTTTGTATATATTTTAGTTTTCACGGTGATCATGGTGATCCTGATGGAAGAGAAATGAAAGAACCTGGAAAAACACCCGTCGAGACTGCACTGAATCTTGTTCAAGACCTGGGGGGCTGCTACAATCTATATAAAACACAGAAACGATGCCCACCATTGATTTAGACAAAGTCATGCATTTATGCCTTTCAAAGATGTGTCCCTCACACCGTCAGCACCAGGTGGTTTACTTCATTATACGCCTGTTTGAACCAACATGTACATGTGAGGGAAGCTGCCTGAGGCCTAAAGTGCTGAAGTCACTCCATCTCTTACGTGGGACTATAGTTGGATTCCCAGTTGAGGACCTTTATTAGTCATTTATTTAGTCATCATCACTTCCCTGAACTGTTCCTGTGAAATCTCTCTTTTTATTGTCTTCCCCAATATTCAAACATAATATCAGCTTTTGCACAAGTTCAGTTTTTTTGTTTTCTTTGTGTGAAGATGTGGCGGCACGGTGGCGCAGTCTCAGCAAGGAGGTCGCCAAGCACCATTCTGGGTGGAGTTTGCATGTTCTCTCCGTGCTGCGTGGGTTTTCTCCGGGTACTCCAGTTTCCTCCCACAGACCAAAAACATGCATGTTAGACTGATTGGTAACTCTAAATTGTCTCTAGGTGAGAGAGAATGAGTGAATAGTTGTTTCTCGTTTGTCTCTATGTGTCCCTGTGATGGACTGGAGACCTGTCCAGGGTGTCCCCCACCTCTCGCACAGTGACTGCTGGACTTGGGCACCGGTGACCCCCGTGACCTAAAAAGGAACAAGTGGGTAAAGATAATGGGTGGATGGTTGATGGATGGATGATGGATGGATGATGGATGATGGATGATGAATGGATGATGGATGGATGATGGATGATGGATGGATGGTGGATGATGGATGGATGATGGATGGATGGATGGATGATGGATGATGGATGATGGATGATGGATGGATGGATGATGGATGGATGGATGGATGGATGATGGATGGATGATGGATGGATGATGGATG